GAAAAACCTTATAACTGTGGTTTAGAACTCTATATCCAGTAGTTTTCTTTCCTCCATTTCTGTCATTTGTGACCTGTTTGTCTCCGCATTTTTTATGCTTCCCTGTGTTGATAGAGTAGCTTTCTGTGCCAGGTTTCCTATAGAGCCCAGTGGCTCAGCCTCCCCAATTACCTGAGGTGGACACTCATGGTGCACACCCTTGTGGGCTTTGTGCAGAGTCTTGTTGTAGTTAAGCCTTGATTGTTGTAGGTATCACTGGGAGGAATTGACTTCCAGGCCAATTGGCTGTGAGAATCAGCTGTGTCTGCAGTGGAGAACTTCTGTGCTGGAGACACCCTTCTGGGGCAAGACTTGCTTCAGTGGGGCTTTGGTGCTCACTGAGTCTGCCCCCTGAGTGTGTCCCTTATGGATCTGAGGAGTTGTAATCTGGATAGTCCCACTCTGACCACTGGGTACACTGGCTCTTGGATGTCTAAGGAGGGGCTAATTTAGCCTCTTCCTGAGGCTACCCAGCAGGAGCTCAGCTGTGAAAGAATACAAGCTGCTGTGGGGCCTTGGGCCAGCTGCAGTTAGTTAGGTAATTTTCAGATTGCAAAGGGCCAGGCCTTTCTTATGCAAAAGCCGTTGCACAGCTTGGCCAGGGTGGGGCCCCAGGGGAACAACAGGGTGGAGCAAGCAGTTATGGCTGCTCCTCAATCCTGCCCTCAGAGGCCCCGCTTCTCAGTGTCCCGGTAATCGCTGCAAGCACCTCTGAGTGAAAGTCGCCCTCCAGGTCCGACCGATGCCAATCTAGCCTCTCCTGGTATGAATCTGGGTCCCTACAGACTTCCTGGAACTGGAGTTCAGAGCAGTCGGGAGCTTGAGACTCCCTCCCGATTGAAAAAGACAGCCGTGTCCTCAGCGTGCGCCTCCGTACCTCTGCACTTTACTTCCACACTGCAACTCCTCTGATTCTCGGTGTGCTTTTCTCTTTCCTTCTAGTTGTAGAATTTCCACTCAGCCAGCCTTCCTGTCATTCTGGATGATGTCTGTTTTATCTTTTAATTGTATTTGTGAAGTGGTTGTGCGAGGCAGCAATTTCTGGTGTTTACCTATGCTGCCATCTTGGTTTCTCTCTATTTTGAGTTTTGAGTATTTTTTATATGTACATTCTTTGTCAGATATGTAGCTTGTAAATATTTTCTCTAGTTTAAAGCTTGTCTTTTCATTTGTAAAATTAAAATTAGCTTTTAAATTATTCTTTGTTAGAGAGTAGAGATTTTACTATTACTTGGAGAGACAAGATGTGTTAGAACTTCTATCTTTTGACTAAGACTTATTTACAGTCAAAATTTGCATAGGTTAGGCACTAAAAGAGTGCATGTGTTTCATGGATGATCCCCAAAAGAAGAAAAATGCATGCTTTTAATAATGCCTTACCTGACATATTGATGCAAGAGGAAGGATTAAACACCTGCCCTGCAATCTCAGACATTTTACTTAGCTTTTCTGAGCAGTAAATTCGTAATCCATAAAATAGGGGGGAGGGATATGCTTTTTAATTCCAAAAGTACTGTGAAATAACTAATATAGCTCTAAAAAATAAGGCATATTACCAAAGCTTTCTCCCACTTTTTAAATTATTAGTCTTCCTTATCATTTAAGGGACAGTTGTTTCAGGATTTGAACCTAGTCTTCTATAATTTCAGATATCAACATGTAAACCCTTTTCAGAGAACCAGAGTGAGGATATTATTTCATGTTGCTAATCTTAAAGGGTCATTGTAGTAATAGTTATTTTATAGGTTTATTTTGAGGATTAAATTATTTAATAAATGCAAAGCACTTGTAACAGTTCCTGTTATATATTAGCAAGTAAGCACTGCTTAAGCTATTATTACCTGACTAGTAAAGTACTGCTATAGGGAATCAATGCTAAGAAAGTGAGGTCTTTCAGCCTAGGTGTTTATCAATGAGTATGTTGCCCTCAAGGAGAATTTTATGTTATTTTTCAGTAGAATATACATTTTTCATTTCAGTTATAATTGCCAAAATGCTTGGAATTTTTAAATATCTTCAATTTGGGGACTCTGACAATTAAATAGACAGTTTTATTTAATATAGTTTGATTATGGATAAAGAGAAATAGAGGCATTTATGGATGTTTACAGAAAAGGCATTTTATTTACTCTCTAATGACTAAGACTGATCAAGAAAGCAAAGGCTTTGGGAAAGATGATTCTGTGGGATGGATGTGGGGAGAAACGGCAATAGGTTCAGCTAAGAATTGAAAGTTTGAGAAATTCGATCATTTTTTCATGCTTTAAAATATGTGTTTAATTTGATTCTATAATGGTAAATTCTTAAGTACTTTAAGCCAATAGTCTTTATTATATTCATGCTTAAATGTGTGTTGTTTTTTTTTAAGGACTTCAGTTTGTTGAAATGAGCAGTCGTAAATCAAAGAGTAACAATTTAATACATACAGAGTACCTTTCACAGGTTAGTATATATTTTCATTAACTTCAAATTCTATTACTTTGCAAAGGTCCTCAGAGAAATAGTTATCTTCTTCCCATTCTAAGAGGCAAAATGCCATATGCTTCTATTTAATTTTATCCTTTTTAAGTCTTTGGGTAGTTGGGATTCTAACTTTACATGTCTTCCTAAGTGTGGTTCTGATTTCAATTTAGTTTAACATTATCTTCCAAGTTTTATACTTCCTTGGCTAAATGTATTCCTGTGGTTTTTTCATTTCTTTTGAAGCTGTAATAAATAAAGTAGTTCTATTTTTATTTGTTCATTGCTAAAATATCTAAATGCAATTGATTTTTATATATTAATCTTTTATACTGCAACTTTCTGAACTCATTTATTAGTTCTGATAGTTTATTAATTTATTCCCTAAGATTTTGTATATACTAGGTCATGTCATCTACAAATAGAAATAGTTTTACTTCTTCCTTTTCAAACTGGATGTCTTTCATTCCTTTTTCTTATCTAATTGCTCTGGCTAAACGTTCAGTGCAATATTGAATAAAGGTAGCAAGAGGAGACAATCTTGTTTTGTTTTTGATATTGGAGAAATATATTTAGCCTTTACCTGTGGAACATTATATTAGCTATAGGTTTTTGTCGATTCCCTTTATCACATCAAGGAATTTCACTTAAATTCCTAGAATATTTATCATGAACATTTAAGATAGTTGCATACTGTATTTCAAATGCTAAGTATATCGCTATACATATTTCTATTAAGGAATCTAGGAAGGAATGGCCATGGTATTTCTACCCTGACATTTCTTTTTACCTGGCTTGATCATCAGAACTACATTATTTTTTAAATTAAAACTAAATGGTATTGGCATCCCTTTATAAAACCTTGTTCTTATTTTTGAAGGTAAATATTTAATTCTGTTCCAAAAAAAATTTTTTTTAACTAGTATAATTTACATATCTTCATAAAGGGCACAAGTTCATGTACAGCTTCATTAATTTCTTTAAATCCTGACCCAAGGATATGTTTTTCATTGATTTGAGAGAGAGAGACAAAGAGACATCAGCGTGAAAGAGAAACTTCAATCAGGTGTACCTCTCCCCTCCAAACATGTCCCAACCAGGGATTGAACCTGCCACACCAACCAGGGCCAGCTTCATTAATTTCTGTACATACATTCACTTGTGTAACCTCTACCTGAGATCACTTTGGAATTTGTAAACCTCCAGCTACTTACTACAGCTTCTCTTCACTTTATCCCTGTCATATTTTATACATAGTTGTTCCCTCTCTAATAGACTCTAATGAGGAAAGGGAAGGTCTGAGATTTGTCTTTTAATTTCTAGTGATATTATCTAGGTAGAGGAATAAACATTATGATTTGTTGAGTCTCCATATATGCTCATTTAAATGTTTTACAGGTATCAGCTATTACCTGTCCAATACCTATGCAGTATTAGAGATAGCTCTCTTATTTAATCTGAAAAACAGGCTTGTTAGAAAAGTGTTACTGTCTCCATTTTATAAATTTTTTAAAATTAAGATTTAGAAAGGACTAACTTTAAAATGCTTCTCTGGCACCAATTTTCTTATTCTTTTCACTTCCTCTATAATGAAACATATTTATTATTTTATCCCCAGTGAATAATTTGCTTTGTTTATACTCTAGTGCATGTAAAGAGAACTCATGTATCTCTTTGATACATGAAGGATCAGTCCCACACTCTCAATTTGGGAAAAATAAATAATCTTGGAGGCTTCTTGTTTCTGTTGATGGAGCCAAATCTGAAGCTCCCTAAAGTTTGTGTCCCTGGGGTTCCTCTGCATTAGCAGTAGATCCTGAAAAGAAATGTCTTTAATGGCCCATCTTTTCTTTTTCTTTTTATTTATCTTCTTCTATATAAATAAAAATGTAAATGTTTGTTTGTTCAAAATCTTAAATCTCCGAAAGTTCTTCACCGATTGCTTTGAAATTTTGACACAACGTTGCATTCAAATATGCGTGTGTTTTTATATACCTATTACTATCTGTGCCCGGCTATGCGTTGCTGTGGCTCAGTCTGGTTAAATGGAAAAGAAAGAAAAGAGAAAGCGCACGTTTTGATGCGGGTCTGCTGTTTAGCATTGACGTCTTTCAGCCACTCTCAGCCTGTCACGTTCATTCTGTTGAGAACGAAGAAGATCTGAAGCTGCAGAACGCGATCGCCGAGCTCGCCACCGTGCATCCTCAAGTCTGGCTGCACATCGCTCTGCTGCTTCCTCGGCATGTTTTTGAGCCATTCTTTGTCTGTTTCGCTCGTTCGCTGATGCCTGTTCTTCCTCAGTCTGATTTGCAATTACTCGTCACACTGCTTCCGCTCCGCGAGTACAACGACCTAAGTTTGATCTTCTGCGAGGCATTATTTTGATGAACTAAAGCAGATCGATTGCACTGAGAAAGAAGAAAGTTATAACAAAAACATAAAAAATTGCAAAACATTAAGAAAGGAAAAAACATGAACTAAAAAACAAAGAAAAAACAAAAACAATAAAAAATACTAACGAAATATTTTAATTCAAACGCAGATTAATCGACACAGCTCAATTCCACCGCCAATTGCACTGAAAAATAAGAAAAACCGTTAAAAAATACGGAATGAAAAACAATGAAAGAAGAAAAAAATAAACTATACTCACGAAATGAATGTTATGTTAAACAACACAGCTCAATTCCAACGCAATGTCACACGAAATAATTAAATCAAAATGAAAATAAATCGAAATCTATGAAAATTCATGTTAACAATGCAATCGGAAACATTGAAATGGAATTGTAAAAGTGGAAATTTGGAAAACGTAAATGGATTGTAAATCAGAAACATTGAAATGGAATCATAAAATATTTAGTATAGCTTGTGTTGCTTTTATGTCTAACAAATGGCACTGTTTTTCAAAAAAGCATGTTTTTACCTGTCACAGGTATGACATCTATATAATAGGTATATAAAAACACACATGTATTCGAATGCAACGTTGTGTCAAAATTTCAAAGCAATCGGTGAAGAACTTTCGGAGATTTAAGATTTTGAACAAACGGACATTTACATTTTTATTTATATAGAATATATAGATGTCACACACGTGACAGGTAAAAACATGCTTTTTTTGAAAAACAGCACCATCTGTTGGATGTAAAAGCAACACAAGCTATACTAAATATTTTACGATTCCATTGCATTGTTTCTGATTTATTATCCATTTACGATTTCCAATTTTACGATTCCATTTCAATGTTTCCGATTTCATTGTTAAATTGAATTTTCATAGATTTCGATTTATTTTCATTTTGATTTAATTATTTCCTGTGACATTGTGTTGGAATTGAGCTGTGTCGTTTATCATAGCGTTCATTTCGTGAGTACAGGTTATTTTTTTTTCTTTTTCATTGTTTTTCATTTTGGTTTTTTAACTGTTTTTCTTATTTTTCAGTGCAATTGGCGGTGGAATTGAGCTGTGTCGATTAATCTGCATTTGAATTAAAATATTTCGTTAGTATTTTTTATTGTTTTTGTTTTTTAGTTCATGTTTTTTCCTTAATGTTTTGCAATTTTATATGTTTTTGTTAAAACTTTCTTCTTTCTCAGTGCAATCGATCTGCTTTAGTTCATCAAAATAATGCCTCGCAGAAGATCAAACTTAGGTCGTCGTACTCGCGGAGCAGAAGCAGTGCGACGAGTAATTGCAAATCAGACTGAGGAAGAACGGGCATCAGCGAACGAGCGAAACAGACAAAGAATGGCTCAAAAACGTGCTGAGGAAGCAGCAGAGCGACGTGCAGCCAGACTTGAGGATGCACGGTGGCGAGCTCGGCGAGCTCGGCGAGCTCAGCGATCGCGTTCTGCAGCTTCAGATCTCCTTCGTTATCAACACAATGAACGTGACAGGCTGAGAGTGGCTGAAAGGCGTCAACGCGAAACAGCAGATCCGCATCAAAACGTGCGCTTTCTCTTTTCTTTCTTTTCCATTTAACCAGACTGAGCCACAGCAACGCGTGGCCGGGTACAGCTAGTTTTTAAATATATTCGTATTGATTTCAGAGAGGAAGTGAGAAGGAGAGAGAGAGATAGAAACATCAATGATGATAGAGAATCATTGATTGACTGCCTCCTGCACCCCCCCGGCCCCCGACTGGGGACTGAGCCTGCAACCCAGGCATGTGCCCTTGAACAGAATCGAATCCAGGACCTTTCAGTCTGCAGGCTCATGCTCTATCCACTGAGCCAAGCCAGCTAGGGCAATAGCCTATGTTCTTAAAGAATGTGCTAGATTTTCTGACATTTTTTACAACCAAGGCTGTGCCCTTTATTCTATGATGGCCTCAAAATTTAGCTCTTTATAAGAATATTTTTCTTTATTTCAATGATTTTTTTAATTTTATAGCCTACATGAATGTGATTTCTTCCATATAATTGAGCATTTTCTTATATGCTGTTAATACTTTTATGCATGTTGTTTTTGAATTTGTCATTTCTGCACAGTATATTTGCAATTTTTTTTTTTAGGCATGGGTCATGCTCTTTTAGTAATCTTGTGCTCTGCATCTAATAAGTACTAAATAACTACAGGGACTTTTAAACTTCTTTAATTTTCTCAGAATACTGACCCTTATGGCAGGTACAGATTGGTAGGGCTTGAGTTAAGGCAATTTAAATGTGTTGGTCTCTAGAGATAGAGGAGTGATATATGAGTATTATGAGATTAGGTTACATTATTAGATTATCACCTGTCAGTTTTTTGGTTCACATGTTATTCTCGGTAAAGTATACATTCATTCACATGCATTAAAACAGTCCTCAAATTCTGATGTAACTAAGGTAAGTAATTCTCTCTTGTTGAAACCTACACAACTAAATTCTTTTCTCTGGGATTTAAGATAAAAAGAACTATTGAATTTATAACTCATGAAAATGGTGCCAGTGCTCTTGAAGAAGTTATTTAGGGAGGGTTGAATTGATTCATTAATACCTAATTCTGACTCCTATAAGTGTATATTCTCATTTATTTTAATTGCATACATAATATTTTTTTATACCTACTTTATTTTCATCAGGTACAAAGAATTTTACGTGAAAGATTTTGTTATCAGAGTTCACATAGTAACCTATTTGGAGTACAAGTACAATATAAGTAAGTTTGGCTATTCCCTTGTATGTTATGAGTATACTTACAGATGCTCTGTACGTTTTGCAGATATTACTGTATACAAATTTTATCTTAATCATTGCTAATGAACGTTTTGCTTTGGGTATAGAAACATTGAGTATCATGAAGCAAGAGAGATATAAGTATTTCCATAATAAAGCCTTTTAACTTTTAGTCTTACGTTGTTTTTGTTATCTGGTATTGTAGAGATAATTCTGCTCTTCTTATACCTAAGACTTGGCAGCCAGTTGTAAAGTGAAAGGGCCTAAGAGCTGCCACTGTTGTCACTAACCCCATACTAGCATAAAGACCAAGATATTTCAGACTTACTTGATTTCTTCTTGTGGTTTCCAGAGAATCAGTATTATCCAACAATCTGTTTCTGTGTAGGACTATATAGAGTATAAGTCAAGTGCCCAGAGGGGAAGAAAAAAGGAATACCTGTTTTCTATGCATATTCAAATTTTGCTTTAAAAAATAATACCTAACAATTATTCTAGCTTTTTAAATTTGGGCCTGTTTATATAATTTCAGACACTTAATTGAGCTGCTAAAAAGAACTGCTATCCATGGAGAAAGTAACTCTGTTCTCATTATTGGACCTCGAGGATCAGGAAAGACCATGGTAAAGCTATTTATTTCTGGTGTTTGCTTTGGTAGGCTTGTGACTCTTCCTGTAGACAACACTGAAATGTATTTCATTATTTTGTTAACATTTTGCTTTTTTTCCTTAAATCATTGAAAACATGAAAAGCCTTATAAAGTTGGGGCGATATATTTGAGTTGAGCTATCTTTTTTGCCTTGTTTTTCTCCACAGTGACAAGTTTCAGTTGATGTTTGTTTAATCATGGTCTTCTGTCCTTGAAGAATTAGTGATTGCCAGTGGAGAAAGCAAACTAGCATTTATTGGACATGTACCTTGTGCCTTTTATGTTTGCTTTATCATTTATTGTTTACACTAACCCAGTAAGATAGGTTTTGTCTCTATTTGTGGATTAGGTAACTGTCACCAATGCATTCTTTTTTTCTCATTATTTTATTGTTTAACCCTAACATAAACATTTTTTTCATATGTCCATTCACATTTTCTAGATTTGTTTTCTACTTTCCCTCGTTATCATATTTGCTTAGTTGTCTCATTTTCTCTTTTCACATTCTTTAGACAGAATATGAAACCAATTATGTCTGTAACACTGAAAGTATTACCAAACCATTTAATTTTAAATAGGTGGGCTGTGTAAAATCTATTTAAACAGTGTTCTCTAAGAAATGGAAATTAGAACTTTTGGATTTTACTGTTTTCCATTACCAGTATTGTTTGAAAGATATAAATTGGTTATATAGATCTATGGAAGGAAGTGGTGCCTAGAAGGAAGGTTAATCAGAAGTACTAGGCAACTGTCACTGACAACCACCACAGCTAACTTGGTTTTAGTTCATGTGATTTCCCCTATCTGGTTGCTTGTAGAGTTTCTTTATATTAGCAATGTTAAAATTTCACAGGTTATATCTAAATGTTGATCATGAAAATTGATATTCTTCAGATCCTCTTAATGTGAATTTAGATCTTTTCTTCTATAAAAGATTCTCTCCCTGCTCCCCCCATTTTTATTATTATACTAGAATTTGCATGCACTGGATGGGAGTCCCTCAGCCCGGCCTGCCCCCTGTCACAGTCCAGGAGCCCTCGGGTGGGAGGTGACCCGGTGATCAGGGGAAGGCGATGCCCCATCACACCTCTGCTGCTGCCATTGCCAGCAGCGCAAGCCTCGGCCGGTCCTGGTTACCTGAGCCTTGGGCTTGCCTGCGCCTCGGGCCAGCCCTGGGCAGCTGTGGGGTTGAGGGGACTGGGGGACTCTGGAGGTTGGGGGGGGCTGAGGGAATTGGGGGACATCTTGTGACTGTGGTGCCACCACCTTTGAGGGCAGGGCAGTCAATTAGCATATTCCCTCCTTATTGACTGTGGGCACCCCCATCTTTTCGATGGTGTGAGGGCCAATTAGCATATTCTGTCTTTATTAGATAGGATCTGGAAGACACATCATCATAGTAATGTTTGAAGAACATTTTTAGATAAAACTTTAATTTTCAAGAAGCTTCATAGTGATACTCTTGTATCAATACAGAAGAAAATGAGATTTAGGAAATCAGTGCATTAGGCCTATCCCATCATAAACTGTGCATCTTGAAACTAAATGGCACTACAACAAGAAAGTTGAATATCAGTAATTTGTGCATCAATGTCAAGCCGAAAAGTACAACTTGAGTGGCTGATTGAATATGTTCTGACCTTCACCTTGGAAGTTTGTCTCTATAGGCATGGAGAAAGTTCAGAAAAAAAGAAATAGAGCTAAACACTTATAAAAATGTATAACTAAATACAAATTTTAACTATACACCATTTCATTAGAAAATGGGCTAAAAAATATATATTTTTTACCAGAAAAATTAAGCAGATGCTACAAAGTTCCCATATTATTCTCCCCTACTCCTACCCCATACACACAATTTCCCCTACTGTTAACACCTTGACTTAGCATGGTACATTATAATCAATGAATTGATCTTGATACATTATCATTAAAGTCCATAGTTTACATTAAGGTTCACTCTTTGTGTTGTACAATGTAATAGGTTTTAACAAATACATAATGTATCCACCATTTAAGTGAAATACAAAATAACTTCACCATTCTAAAAAATCCCCTGTATTTTATTATCTCACCTCCAACCCCTCTCAATGACTGTTTCACTGTTTCCATACTTTTGCCTTTTTCAGAATGTCATATAGTTGGGATCATACAGTATAGAACCTTTTCATATTGTCTTCTTGCACTTAACAATAAGCATTTAAGGTTCCTCCATGACATTTCATGGCTTGGCAGGTCATTTCTTTTAATTGCTGAATAATATTCCATTGCATAAATGTACCACTGTTTATTTACCTATTGAAGGACATCTTGTTTGATTCTGATTTTTAGCAATTTGAATAAAGTTATTCTAAACACTTGTGTGCAAGATTTTATGTGAATGTAAGTCTGCAACTTAATTGGGTAAATACTTAGGAGCACCAATTGTTGCATCATATGGTAATACTATGTTTAGCTTTGTGAGAAGTTGACAAACTGTCTTCCAAAATAGTTATATCATTTTGCTTCTTACTAGCATTGAATGAGAGTTTCTTATGCTATGTGTCTTCACAAGCATTTGGTATTGTCAGTTTTTAAAATTTTAGCCATTCCAGTAGATACACAGTGCTATCTCATTGCTTTTCTTTTTTTTCTTTCTTTTTTTTTAAATATTTTATTAATTTTTTACAGAGAGGAAGGGAGAGAGATAGAAAGTTAGAAACATCGATGAGAGAGAAACATCGATCAGCTGCCTCCTGCACATCTCCTACTGGGGATGTGCCTGCAACCCAGGTACATGCCCTTGACCGGAACCGAACCTGGGACCTTTC